TAATTTATAAATTATTAAGGGTTCATGAGGGAAGCGGGAGGGGGGAGGGAGGCGGAGGGGGTGGAAAGGGAAATGAGCTAATTCCAGGAACCCAAGAGGAAAGCAAATTTTGAGAATGATGAGGGCAACAAATGTATAAGTGTGCTTTACACAATTGATCTATGTATTGTGATGAATTGTATGAGCCCCAATAAAATGATTAACAAAAAGAAAATACTTAATGATATATGTATTTCTCTATGTATGTATATGTAAGTACAATAAGGAAACAGATGGACTTTGGGCCTCTACTTACATCCTACCTCAGTACAAGAACACTTTGTTATAATGTGGCAACATATGATACTCACCTTCCCTACAGGATCACAGAAGACAAATTGGGTGCATAAGGAAATGTGGTGAAGAAAGCTGATGGTACTCGGCTATTAAATGCTACAGGTTCTGGGGTCTTAAAGGCTTGAAGTTAAACAAGTGGTTATCTAACAGGGAAGCAACAAAGCCCACATAGAAGAAGCACACCATCCTGTGTGATTGTGAGTTCTCTATGGGAATAGGTATCCGAAATTCAAAAACAGCAATCAAATTGAAGTGAAGGAACATAGGCAAAGTGGAGATCCAATGTCCACCTGTAAGATAATTGAGCAGTCCCTCACAGAAGAGCCATACAGAAGGGATGAGACACCCAGGGTGCAGTAGAGCACTAATGAAACACATAACTAACCTCCAGTTCTTTAAAATTCCTCCTCCCACTATTATGGCCTTAGTTTTATCTTAGTAATCTCTCTAGATCTGTGTATGTACATTGGTACAAATAAGGTTTTTGATGCACGAGATCCAAGATGGATAAACCCCTCAGGAACAGTAATGGTAGTAATGATTCCCTGAGGGTACAGGAAGGGGGAGGGGAGAAAGAGGGAACTGATAGCAATGATGACTCTATGCCCCCACTCAAGGGGAACAAATATCAAAATTTTAGGTGAACAGATACATTGGATGGTATGTTATGCCAAAAAACACACCCTGTAACAATAGTATATAACATATTAAGGGTTCAGGGGGGTGGTAGGGTGAGGGAGGGAAGAAAGGAGGGGAGCTGATATCAAGGAGTTCAAGAAGAAAGAAAATGTTTTGAAAGTGATGATAGCAGCAATTATAAAACTATGCTTGATCTAATAGAACTATGGATTTTAATTAAATATGTAAGAGCTCCTAATGAAATGTTAAAAAAAAATGAGAGAGAGGGACAGAGTTCGTGAATTTTTAAAGCCCGAGTGTCACCTAGTTCCAACTTTTGTCATCCTTGGGCCTTTGTTCTGGCAGATCTGCTCAGCACGTCCTTTTGGAATTTACAGGATAATTTTTTTTTTGTAACTAGATTACCTCTGCACAGGCATGGTTGAAAAATTTAGTTACGTGTTGACCAACCTGGAGCTGCATGATTTCTGAGGGGGATGATACTTCTCTGCTCTTTCACAGGATCCAAGTGATTGATGCCTTCAGTCCTAAACTTAGTTTCTCATGGCCATGCCAAGGCGTTCTGATCTCCACTACTTCTGCAAAACAGTGAAGAGACAGATGAAGGTTCTGGAAAAACACTGACCAAGGATTACAGTGAGCATTGGTCACTTCTACTGTTCTAGAAATATGACATAGATATTGAAGAGGAGAGGCCGACTATGAATATAAAATCAGTTGCCATATGTACCCTATTGTTCCCTAATTTTCAATAATCCCCTGGACTTGATTTAGGGGGACTGAGAAGAAATTCTACTCTGCCAATTTTTCAAACAGACCACAGTCCTTTGTCAGTGAAGACCATCCCTGGAGGACACCTGCTTTCTCTCTCCCTCATTTAATAATTTCTTCAACCAATCATCTGGAGCGACAGCTGTATTCTAGGCCTTAACTCCCTTCCTGATGTGAACTTATTTTACTTTTTTGCATTTTTCCTATCCCTCCCCGCCTTCAAGCCTTTGTATTGTTTTATCTAAATGTCATGCCTGGGAAATGGTGAAGGTATTCAGGAAGTTGGAAAGATGTTTGACATAAGGATTTAGATGGGGCTCAGGATTGGCAAGTGTAGAGAATTTATATGTTTTGGGTAGAACTGTTTATATCTATATCATTTAGATTTTTATATTATTGTAAAGGATTTTTCACTAGTTAGAAAGAATACTAAACTTGTGTCAATGGAGAATTCATCCATAG